TACACACCGATACTGTATTAACGCAAGAAAATTTAAAAATAACATATTTGTTGTGATTCCAAAATTGATCGAACAATGCGAATGCAGAAAAGGAATTTCCTGTAGAGTAATTATATCAAACAATTGTCAATGTTTTTTATATAGTTATAATATGATTTTTGATTTGAATCATCGACACATTTGTCGTCAATTTTGGTCTTTTTCGATATTTCGGGATGACAAAGGCATAGGATCAGACAAACAATATTACCTAAAATTTTGAATAAATTAAAAAACATTTTATTTTAAGACAAATAGACCTAAATTTGTTTTTGTATCATTTTGCCATTTAGACAAATAGACAAAATTTGATTTTGCATAATTTTAACAATTAAATCAAACATTGCTCCCAAATAATTTGACTTTCCACTGCGGCCGATGAAATATACATCGCGAAGATCATGATGAGAACAGATGTGAGCATTCTATTCAATTCAAAAGTCTTGCTGCACACGAACACAAATATATTTCTGTAACGTTTCGTCTGACCGAGGTCAGACTTCTTCAGACAAGCATTTTCCAATATGTATTTTTTATCGAAAACTTTAGAAACTATTTCATGGAAACTAGGTACTGTATGTGCATGTGTATGAGCAACGTTCCCTTTAAGAGCTTGCTTAGTTGCGCGGAATAGAAGGCCATGTGAGCGCCCAAAAAAAAGGTCCGCGCGGAGAAATAGAAAAGAACACAGAACGAAAGTACTGCGCGGGGATTGTCGGACAGCTGCGCGGCCGCGCACCTCGCAGCTTGGAGGAAACGTTGGATGGGTGTATGTACTGTATCTGTATGGGTAAGGTCAGTTTCATTCAGGCCAAATATTACAAATAAAACTCTAAACTCAGGATTGCATGTTGTAATCCATGTTGGGCATCCGCAAAAGTCAATATTAGTTTAAGGTTTTTACTTAATAACTTAATATGAAGTAATTTATTTTTCAATTTTTGGACGAAGCTACAATTTCGCAACGTAACGTTATATTATACGTTATAACGCCACTTATAATGCTGTAGGTTCTGTGTAACGCCCAAACGCTGGTCTGTGCAACTTATATGCTTTATCGTGAAAATATTTAAAACAATTTTCCATTAGATCCCTAACAGTTGCTTGCTTTATGCTTTTTGATTAACATTGTTTTGTATTGTACATCGCTAAACTATAGTATTCTGTTATACTCTACAAACAAGTTTTAAACTTGAATATGCAATTTTTGCGTTTTGCAGGGGGTATTAGAATTTTTTATAACTTATGGAATATATTGAAAAATAGTTAGAAAAACCAAAATGTGGAAAATTATTCTTTTTCTGTGCTTTGTAGTACGGATATCGAAGGGGCTAATTGAAGGTAATACTGCAGTTGGTGAGTTTTCAGTCTTATAGAATGTCGAGTTTGCCATATGGTCTGAGCAATGTGATATTTCGAATTCCATTTCGATAAGCTATCGATAGGAGGTATAGCGTAATGAATATACAGGGAGTCCTCGGGTTAAGACGGTCGCGACTTATGCTGTTTCGAGGTTACGCATTCCATAAAAATAAAAAAGATAATACTGTACTGTAATATCTAAGCCCTTAAACTGGATAATTGTGATCACAAAAATCAGTGCTTTGGGCTCATTGGTTTTCGTCATATACATCGTAAATGACGTGGACAATACAGTACGATATGAGTACGTACGAGTAATTTATGTACTGTACGGTATAATGTTCCGACTTACACTGAAATTCGGGTTACACCAATTCTCATGAACGAAACCACGTCGTAAGTTGAGGACTGCCTGTACATAAAAAACATCTTCTCATATCTATAACACTTGGTATATCAGTTAGGATTAACATATGTCCCGATTTTTGAGACTGTGAGGTCGGATCCTGGGTCCGGAATTGTCTGGTATTAGAAGGAAAACCAGAGTCGAAATTCGAAGCCATAAGTTGAGACTTCTAAAATTGGGGTTGGAAATTTGAAAAACAAAACGAAAATATCAAACGATTTTATTGTAAACATTTTGTTTTGCGGTGCCTGGATCGGATTTTTTTTTTAATTTAGCTGAGAATCAGATTTTGGAGATTTTCAGACACCCTTTTGTATACAGCATTAAATATTATATAGAATTCTCTGTCATATATATGGGTTTCTATTAAAAAGAAACAAACTACTACAATGTACTATAGATCTGAAAGTATTTTAGACCAGGACACCCGGTTTAAGCAATGGCGTTAGTCAGACTACGTTCAGGTCCCAGTAAAGCTCCGACTTGAGGTTGAAATAATGAAAGACAGTTTGATTTGCGTGGTCGTTTGGCGGAAAAAATAATCAAATATTATTCAAGGTATTTTTTATGAGATTGTGTAACGTTATAAGTCTATGATAAATTTTTGTTACAGAGAAATATGCAGGATAGTTATTCTCACGCTTTCAATCCTACTTATTCTACGTTGGATTAACGTTAAATAACAATTTCTCCCATCACGGTTCTAAAAGAGTTTCACGAATGTGGCTATTACAAATTAGCGTTCCTTTAAGATACATTTTCGATCGTGCGCTGATGCTGTATGAAGCACATTTGCTACAAGACAAATTAAAACAAGTTGAAATCGCGAGTGTGTAAACGGATCCAAACCCTCTAGAATCTGGAATGTAGTATGAACATTTCTTCAAGCATCTATTTAATTATGTTTTTTTAGCAAAGGCTTAGCAGCAATAATGGTGACGCAACAATAGAATATTGGGTGGCCAGTCACTTGTTTCATTCATCAATATTTGCCACCGTGATATGTGAACATTAATTAGATTTGTACTTTTATGTTTTTCCTATTTGTAAGTTTTTAGGTATTTTTAACTTGTTACATTCTTAATTATCGTATAATTATTAGTTTACCCAGACAACCCGTTTCCAAAAGCCATATAAGTGAAATCAAAATTAGCAAAATATCCTGATTTTATCTGCCAAATTCGGTTGGCTGTGAGCTCTCATCCGACTACAGTCAATGTAAATCAAATCAATGTACACAAAAAAATTTATGCCCAAAATTTTCCAAGAATTTCAGTTATGTGGAATTCACAACTTATAATGTCCGTAGCTTTTGTCATTTTAGTCGTCCCAGTAGCTTCACTCAGGAACCCTTCTCTCTCATTTCGAGTAAGTTCTCGTGACCTGACTTTGAGAAAACTTCTTTAAAAAAGCAAGAAACATTTTTGCAATAGGAAGTTATCGGAAAAGTTTTTGTCTGGAGTCAAATGTTGAGAAAACATAACTTCCATGGGCCCAAACATATCCCAAAAAATAAAGTCAAGCCAAGCTTTAAGTTTTGGTTCACATAAATAAGAAGGGAGTGAAACTTGAAACTTTGCATCACCCACATGATTTTGAATATTTTGACAGCAAGTTTTGTGAAAGCACTCTTAACTGAGTACACATAATGAATATTAATTCATTTTTGCAAAGCGTAACGCGACACAGTCGTGGCTATGTACAAGATAATAAAAGATTTATATAGACCAAATCATATATCAAGCTTTGCTAAATCAAAATCGAAACAACGCTTGGCTCGACATGAATAAATTTTAAACTTGTGGCTTTGAAAAATACTTTTAAAATTGATCGCGTATTGGGCAAACCCAGGCCGACTTTTCTTTCTGGTCAATTACTTCGCATTAAAAAAATAATATTACTTTCTTAGCACATAATACACATTACACACCGATACTGTATTAACGCAAGAAAAGTTAAAAATAACATATTTGTTGTGATTCCAAAATTGATCGAACAATGCGAATGCAGAAAAGGAATTTCCTGTAGAGTAATTATATCAAACAATTGTCAATGTTTTTTTATATAGTTATAATATGATTTTTGATTTGAATCATCGACACATTTGTCGTCAATTTTGGTCTTTTTCGATATTTCGGGATGACAAAGGCATAGGATCAGACAAACAATATTACCTAAAATTTTGAATAAATTAAAAAACATTTTATTTTAAGACAAATAGACCTAAATTTGTTTTTGTATCATTTTGCCATTTAGACAAATAGACAAAATTTAATTTTGCATAATTTTACCAATTAAATCAAACATTGCTCCCAAATAATTTGACTTTCCACTGCGGCCGATGAAATATATATCGCGAAGATCATGATGAGAACAGATATGAGCATTCTATTCAATTCAAAAGTCTTGCTGCACACGAACACAAATATATTTCTGTAACGTTTCGTCTGACCGAGGTCAGACTTCTTCAGACAAGCATTTTCCAATATGTATTTTTTATCGAAAACTATAGAAACTATTTCATGGAAACTAGGTACTGTATGTGCATGTGTATGGGCAACGTTCCCTCTAAGAGCTTGCTTAGTTGCGCGGAATAGAAGGCCATGTGAGCGCCCAAAAAAAGGTCCGCGCAGAAAAATAGAAAAGAACACAGAACGAAAGTACTGCGCGGGGATTCTCGGACAGCTGCGCGGCCGCGCACCTCGCAGCTTGGAGGAAACGTTGGATGGGTGTATGTACTGTATCTGTATGGGTAAGGTCAGTTTAATTCAGGCCAAATATTACAAATAAAACTCTAAACTCAGGATTGCATGTTGTAAACCATGTTGGGCATCCGCAAAAGTCAATATTAGTTTAAGGTTTTTACTTAATAACTTAATATGAAGTAATTTATTTTTCAATTTTTGGACGAAGCTACAATTTCGCAACGTAACGTTATATTATACGTTATACAGCCACTTATATTGCTGTAGGTTCTGTGTAACGCCCAAACGCTGGTCTGTGCAACTTATATGCTTTATCGTGAAAATATTTAAAACAATTTTCCATTGGATCCCTAACAGTTGCTTGCTTTATGCTTTTTGATTAACATTATTTTGTATTGTACATCGCTAAACTATAGTATTCTGTTATACTATACAAACAAGTTTCAAACTTGAATATGCAATTTTTGCGTTTTGCAGGGGGTGTTAGAATTTTTTATAACTTATGGAATATATTGAAAAATAGTTAGAAAAACCAAAATGTGGAAAATTATTCTTTTTCTGTGCTTTGTAGTACGGATATCGAAGGGGCTAATTGAAGGTAATACTGCAGTTGGTGAGTTTTCAGTCTTATAGAATGTCGAGTTTGCCATATGGTCTGAGCAATGTGATATTTCGAATTCCATTTCGATAAGCTATCGATAGGAGGTATAGCGTAATGAATATACAGGGAGTCCTCGGGTTACGACGGTCGCGACTTACGCTGTTTCGAGGTTACGCATTCCATAAAAATAAAAAAGATAATACTGTACTGTAATATCTAAGCCCTTAAACTGGATCATTGTGATCACAAAAATCAGTGCTTTGGGCTCATTGGTTTTCGTCATATACATCGTAAATGACGTGGACAATACAGTACGATATGAGTACGTACGAGTAATTTATGTACTGTACGGTATAATGTTCCGACTTACACTGAAATTCGGGTTACACCGATTCTCATGAACGAAACCACGTCGTAAGTTGAGGACTGCCTGTACATAAAAAACATCTTCTCATATCTATAACACTTGGTATATAGAGAGTTCTCTTTGGTTCCCTTTATGCGTAAACACTCATTTGAAGACATTTAACATACCAATCAAATTTTTATTTAAATTGTTCCCGTAAAAAGCTGATTGAAATGTGAATATGTTTTTTGTTCCATGTATATATTATAACTTTATTTTTCACAACTTCGTAACCTACAGAATCAACGTTTATTGTTGTCAAACTCAATTTCTTTGCAGCTTTTTCATATGGATCTTCTGTTAAGTAAACTTTTCAAAGTCAAGGCATTGAAAAGCGTTCATTTTAATTAATGTTTTTGACATTGAAACAGTGTTACATTCGCTCAACTGTATTATAGAAAACATGAATACTTCAAATAGAGCATAGATTCACTTTGGGTAGGTTCCTGAGCATGGTGTTTAAATCGAAATCTCTCTACTATGATAAGGCACCATAGGAAGAACGAACTTTTTTGTCACAAAATTTTGTAGATATTGATTAAAACTAGAATTTTTTTTTTAATAATAACGATTATAAAAGTAAACCAAAACCGACAGATATTACGTGATATCCCATTAAAATTAAATATATAATAGATTCGAATTTCCCATTAAATTCATTTTATTTTCTATCCAGTTCCCGAAGTGCCTCAAGACGTTGCAATAAGTAATATCACCAGTTCAACAGTAGTCGCAGTCATCACACCTCCAAACAATACTCTAATTGCTGTCACACAATATATCATAACAGTGAGGTAACATATTATTAAATATTTTAGGTAGAGAAAAGTTTTTCCATTTCACGACTTAGAGATATCCATTAAGCTGATTGTATATTTCGACTCTTGTTAGCAATAATGTAACGAGAATATCGGTCGGAGACCGAAGACTTATTGATCGAGCGATAATTAATTAATTAATATCTCGCTAATTATACGACCCAAAATCTATAGGCTTCTGGTCCGTGATATGATGCATGCACATGCAAAATTTGGAGCAGATGCAACCTCGCGTTCGTGAGATATCGCGTTCATCTAACAGACATACATACAGACAGACAAATACCTATCAATATACCATCCATCGGGCGCTATCAAGAGTACTCCATGAGATGTATGTCCAGTAATCGGGGTTCCGGCATTGAACGTCACAATACGCCCGAACGATCTTAAGATCGATAGGTAACAATAATGAAAACGCTTAAGTTCCTGACTCAGAAATAATGACTTCTTACTCAATTCTTTACCAAATTCTTCTCCAGTTTCGACCCAGGGTAATAAAATACGACTACGACTCCAAAACTTTTCTTCCTAATTCCATGGTCCCTGCTACCCACACTAAAAAACTGTGTTATGGCATCACATATTGTTAGTATGAAAGCATGTATTTCAGGTTTCTATATTGATAACTCCCCTCTATATACATATATCACTTTGTGAAACATATTTACATTCTTTTTATTAACATAGACAAGATATCGATGACTGCAATTCATTTAATGACGCAAGTTGCCATGAGAACGACCAGCAAACATTCGCAGCTACAGCTGACAACAGATACACAATAACTGGCCTACAAGCCTACAGGTAAAGTTTTTTATTAATTACAATGCTATTTTTTACAATATTTGGTGATAAAAAAATAAACAGATATATTTTATGTTGGAATATCCAGGAAAACATAAAATTAAACAACATAGGTTGAAGCTGATTACTGATTTTTAAATGGCGAAAAGCACAGTGTGACAACAAACGATTAAACTCTGAGCTAATGCTTTAGCCAGTGCAGTCATGTGTAAGCATTGCAGCTTTATTCGTAATTTTAAACAACACTAAATAACCTAAGGTTATAAATTGATAAAATCTAGTAAATACATGAGATAATAATAATATTCAACATTTCTCATTTTAACATAGAAAATACGTCGTCTCTGTAGTCGCCGTAATTCTCGGTGTAAGAGGTGAATCAAGTTCGAATTTTACATTTACTACAGCCGCTGGACGTAAGTATCCTGAAGTATATATTCTCTGAATGTCAATTACATTAACATTTTAATTTTAACATATACTTTTTTACAGGACCAAACCCTATCTTTAATGTAGTGACTGTATCACTACCGGAAGTAATTATTGTGACGTTCAATGCCGGAACCCCGATTACTGGACCTACATCTCATGGAGTATTCCTGATAGCGCCCGATGGATCAACTCGGCAAGCGGGGGTTAGTACGCGCATATATATAATATTTAAATACGCAAATAATTTAGAATATGTTAGAGTTATTTCCGAAAAACAATGTTGTGCGTTTTTTAGATTCAAATATTATATACTAAACGTCAAAGTCGGAATCTCTAATGGAAACTAAAAAGACTTATAACCATAGTGTGTTGTGATTTAGACCTGGTGTTGAGTTTTTTTTTATTTGCTGTATACTTCGCGACGGATAGGAATGTTAAGAAATAACGAGTTGGATACTATCTGGAAAGGAAAATTAAATATATAATAAAAAAATATGTTGTTATTGGCTTGAAGCATTCTGGCAAGCTTTATGGCTCGTGGCCCCCTTTCGTAAGCATTTTATACTGATGGGCTCGCTGTTTATGATTCCAGTAGTATTTATAGTGTTATTTTGATTGATAGGTTCCGAATACCATTATGTTAATGCTCAACAGAGTGAAAGTACCCGATAAAATAACCTTAGCGAGCAATGAACATAGGAAGAACGTTTTTTTAGGAAAAGAAGTCAAGGGCAAAGTAAAATCAGTTTTGTTTCTAGCATTGTGAACACACACTAACTTATCCTCGAGCCCCCGATTTGGAACTACTCATAAATCATATCTGCGTACGATAAATGCAGAAACATTAAGTCTAAATAAAAATCGTTATTTCAGGTTCAAGCATCTGTATCGTCGTCGATATCTATAACGGTTTCAGGTGTTAAAGACAATACTGTTTATAAGCTTCATATTACATCATCCATAAACGGTGTTGGTTCATCTCAATTACCACCAGGAACAACCGTTACATCAGGTATGAAATTTACGTGAACATGTATTATATTTTATACAAATTGTTCCACAGATTTGCTTTAAACCAGTATCAGGACAACAAGCCTAGCTGTACGTACATACAAGATGTACTATGTGTTTCGGAGAACGCGAACCTTTTTGCCCCAGTATCGCATATCAAAAATATCATACGTGGATCAGGTGAAGAGTGTGCAGTTTAATCGCGAATCATTGACACATCAAATAGCTACTTGTGTATTTCTTAGCTATATTGTCAATAGATACTGATTTAAATGTAATTTCAAGCACTCAACACCCGTAGAGTAATGAATTCACCGACACCTTACGTCGATAAATCATAGCACTCAAAATTTTTCACCTCTAGCTCAAATCATATTTGCCTAGAATGAAGCTGATGCCAAGGCGCCGTTAAAAAAAGCCTCCATAAAATAACAATATCTAAAGATCGATAAGTATCAAGTTCTTACACTTGTTACTATTGATTATTTATAATCATTTTTGTCTTATTTTGACTGATGGAATTTTTTATACAAGGGGAATTAAAACTCATAAATTTCCTAAATGCATCTACAAAAGAAGAAAATTTATATGACACTGTAGCCAAACTTTAAGTAGTCTTTGCGTGCTTTACACAAAAGTCATGTTGTCTCAAGATTATGTCCAAATAACCTGAGTTGTTCTTTTTTGTCACTCTATATTTCAACTTGTCATACGGATCACAAAAACAATAGCAAATATGATTGGACCGAGCGGTATTACAATTCTCCCTTTACATCATAACGTTGGTATTCCATTTATAATTGAATTCGCTGCTCTCACTTATTCAAATAGAAGATATTTGTTCAATTCACTTGTTTGATTTGCGCAATTCTCCTTTTATACCGAAATTTCCACCTAGACCCGCTAGTCTGTAGAATCTCTTCCTCGGAGCTATTTGCTTGTATTTTGTGTCAACACCTTTCCAACATTCAATAATTTATTTCTTTTCTATATTTGCAGAATATCTGTATTTGCTGTCTCCGCAGCTGGAACGAGTTCGGGATCTACCTTATCACAGCAAACAAGGGCAGGAAGTAAGTTTATTTTCTTCGGATAGCGTTGTTACAATGTTTATCTTCTGTTATATAAAATAATCCAACCCACCCATTTTGTGTGAACCTTTTGAATGCAATACAAATGTGACTGATATGAAGCCAAATGCCATATTAGATGTTAAAACGACTGCTGTTTTGCATTTGTTTACAAAATCAAGACTGCCCGAGAGGAATGATTTTAAACCAACCATATCCTATAGAAGCAGTCAATGACATTGAGTTAAAGATGCCAGAAAATCCGAATTATTTATATATACATCCATTGTAGACTTTGCAATGTAAAAACCTCATGCCAGATCAAATATCCAACTACTGAATATCCAACTGCTGAATATCCAACCCACACTGCTGAACTACACAGAAAACTTTCAAGATCGGTAGGGATTCTGAGAAAGCTCAGGCACTATGTACAAGACGCAACTTTGCGAACTGTATATTTTGCCCTTTTCCAATCCCATTTACAATATGCTATAGCTGCTTGGGGAGCTGCCTCCCAATCAAACTTGTATAAATTAGAGGTCCTACAAAATAAGGCCATTAGAATTCTCACTAGAGCACCCATTCGTTCCAACTTAAGCATCTTATACCACAAGATCAGGGTATTAAAATTGCCCGACATTCACAAGTTTGAGATCTTTAAGATCATGCATCAATTCCACAACCGGAAATTACCTGCAGCTTTTGACAATCATTTTGTTCAACTTAGTTGCATGCATGAGCATAACACCCGCTCCTCGTCAAGATCTAATTTATTTGTACCCCGCTATTCCCTAAGCAAAACCCCAAATTCCTTAAAATATAAAGGCGTTTTAATTTGGAATAGTATCCCCCAATGTTTACGCGACTCCACATACTCTACCTTTAAATTTAAATATAAAAAACTCATGCTCTCTTCTTACCTGTCTCCTGCCAGGACCTTGAGTTGATGTGTTGTCAGCATTCAGTCTTGATATTGCAACGAATCCTCGATCTGATCCACAGATCCTAACAGTTGTAGTTGGGTTTTTGAATCTGGTATTTAATGTTTTCGTATCAAATGTTGGTATGCTATTTTCTCAATTATTGTTATTTTATATATTGATATAACCGTATAACTCGCCTTACACATTTTTGAACCATGTACCAATTGCTTTTATAGATAATATATTTCGTAAGACTAAGAGTCTTCATAAGAACATATAGATGGAGCTAAAAACTCAAAATCCATTTATTGCTGCTGTTGATTAATATTTAAATCATCTTCTATTTGATTGATCAAATATTATTTTTTAAAACCGGTATGGCTATGTATTGCATACGCTAGGTAGGTTGGTGAGCTATCTTAATAATAACTCTTATCCTGCCGGAAGAATTTTTGTGTGTTTTTTTCTTTTAAATATTTTCTTACCTGTTATTCATGTTATCTTGCTTTTTAACTTATTGGATTGCTTTTGCATTTAATTCTCAATTCTTCTTGGACTTTGTAATGACTCCAGCAACACCTCTTTCTCACCTCAGCTCCACCTCATTCTCTATTTGAAGGTGAACTTAACAAAGTCCATGGTTACCGGCACCGTACTCTGTGTGGCCATATCTTTGAAATGTCGTTTCCATGGTTACATTACTGACGGTGCTCGGAGTCTAGTGTTGTAC